GGCATCCCCGAGCGAATAACACCCGTCCCAAAGCACAGTGCTCGCTGGGGCCTCTCCCCCCTAATCAGCCCCCCCCAAGCCCTCCACACCAGACTCGACAAAGCTCATCCAGCCCCCCAGACCCCCAGACAGATCAACCATCTGATAGCCACAGGACAGCCAATACCTAGCTCTACCAGGCAGCCACTGGTGTTGGCCGCGCTAACAGAGCCCCAACCCCCAATATTGGATAGCCAAGGGGGACCCACCAGTCACAGCCAGGAGCCACAAAGGAGGCAGCAACAATACTCGAAGGAACCGGAACCAGCTACACCATCCAACCCAGCTGAACTGAAGTCTAACCGAGCCGGGAGAAAGTAAGTGGAGCTAGCCGAAGCCAGCTCCACAGGTCCGGTGACAGGTACAGACCGAACGACAGGCAAGAGGCACCCCCAACTGACGTGACGTGAAGGGGGAGGGCGCATGAACAGGAGCAGACAAGTAGAAGGTAGGCCCCACTTGCAAGGAGTGAAGCTGCCAACCACAATCCGTAACCCAACCACCCAAACACACTGACAACGTGAGTAGCTGGCAGCCAATCATCCCACACCATCCCAGGCAACAACAATAACCACACCAGGGGGTAAGAGTCTACAGGGTCAAAGCGATCCCCACCGAGGCAAGGAGGTGATGCCTGACTGAACCACCGTAAATGCAGCAAGGACACACTTGCAAGGGAACGGTAATAAACAACATCGTAGGATTCTGACCGTAGAAACGTAATGTAACAAGGAGGGACTGGGCGGGTACCGTCCTGCCCCCTGAGGAATGATGCGGCTGGTATGACGAGTTGAACTTGGGAAGGTCATCAGTATAATCCAAGGGTGTTTTGTATCTTGAGAACTAAGGACTCCATTAAAACCCAACAAAAAACATGAGCTGGCCCGAAGAATAACACGGGTGATTTCCCCAAACACAATGTCCAATTCCCCTAATCAAATGCGCAACCTACGAGTAGACGATAGACAGGAAGCCGTAGGCATTTTACCAAAAGGGGCTCATAAGTGACCATGATGAGTAGCTCGAAGTGCCAGTATCGTGAGATAACCAGCAAGCAACAAAACAAGAAGCAAACAAGTAATCCACCACGTAACACCTAACAGACCTCAACACTAAGAACTCCAGGAACTACTGAGTAAACACAGATATCTCCCCCAGAATCCAAGGCATCAAGGCCCACCATAGGTGCGAAAGAATCGCTTGGGGTGAAGCAATAGCAAGGATGAGGAAAAGTACTTTGAACAAAGTGTGAAGAACCTATCCTCCTGGGCCGCATTGGCCTCCTTATATAGTGTTCTTCCCGCCCATAGTCATGTGACCCAAAGTGGTCACATGTGCGAAACCAAATCATAACAAACTAGTCATGTGACCAATGTGGTCACATGCTCAAAACCCATGACCTCATAGCGAGGTCATGTGCAAAAACTCATAAACCAATTATAACATAATAAACAAGTCATATGACTTGACTGAGTCATATGTGTGAAACCGATGACCTCATAATGAGGTCATGTGCGAAACATAAATCATATGCATAAGGCATACCAGCAAGGTACACTCGCAAGGCATACTCGTCAGGCACACATCCCATAACTCATATTTGAGCCATGTGCGAAAGCATCACAAATCTCACACATAACAAATCATATGACTCGAATGAGTCATATGTGTGAAACAGTAACATACCTGTGTCTTATAACCATGTATCATGTGAAAACCTTTTCCTCGCCAAGTCACATTCGTGATATTATTTTTCAAAGTGTATTGAAATGCAACTGCACACTAAGGATAAAAGAGGAAATGTATTATCACTTACAAGTAGTAGTAAAGTTTAATCAACTAGCATATGTCAATACAGTTATAATTCTTACTTAGCTTACTGAGTAGCTGGTACCAGTCCTTGGATAGCAACCTACCCTTCTTATTACAAAAACCTTTTATATACACATAAGACTGATCCTGTCAAGATACTTTATGTTTCTGAAAATATATTACTATCAATGATTTCAGCACGATATACGGGTCTGTTACAACCATTGGATCTCTCCATTAATTGTCCATTCAAGAATCTACAAAAAGTAGTATTGTTTTCAAATATTTTATTTTCTACTAATGTTTTCCAGACTTGGACCTTGTGCTAGTACTAACTATAATCAGAGAAGGCCATTAAGGATAAACTTGCCCATCTTGAAATTAAACATAAAGATGTCCAAAGTAAGAGCCCTGTTGAAGAGATGTACATAATGATAACTTACTGTATTGGACAAACATGGTCGCAGTTTTCCTGTGAGCAACAAGAAGTTATTGTAAAAAGCTTTAAGTCATTAGAACTCTTATTACCAATTAATAGCTTTAGTAATGGTGAGATTTCTATTAAGAGGCTTCAAACTAAACCATTAATGAATGCTATATCTGCATGGAAATTTTATGAACTGCTAGGCACATCTGATAAATGTTTAAGTCCAAGTTCTGAGAGTGGTGAGGACCTTGATCTTTTTATAGAAAACCTATCACCTATCTTGCCTCCTACAAGCTCCTCTAACCTTGATATCCGTTCAGGTAATCTGAAACCTTCAACAGCTATCAATAATATTAATATTAATACTAATACTGATATTGGCCAGCTTAAGTCTGAAGATCCAATCACTAGTACAAAGTATATCCTGTTAATTAGTCGTATTAACAGCTCAAGATAGGGGTACAGGAGTACTCAATTCACCAAGCAGTACTATTCACGTTGAACCAGGACTGGTATTAGCACTGTCTAGCACTTGAGGCAATACTCGTAGTAGGAGTGAGTACAATCTCGTGGTTCTCAGAGTAGCTCTAAATAGTTTAAGACTTTTAGAGCCACTATACTAAATATTACAAGGGAAGCAAGGCAGTTACACTCTCATCATACTAAATATTCCTTCAAGGCTGGTCATCTTAAAACTCTCGACACGGATGCCCCACCATATATGCCTGTAGCTACAGGTATTAGAAGATATTATAGGTTACTTCAAGCAGGAGAAACATGGACCTTCGTTGAAATGTGTCCAAGTCTCAGTAAAACTGTAGATGGAGATAATAATGATGGAGTTGAGTTTGACTTTCGTTGGGGAAGAGGAGAATTTTAGTTTAGTAGTAAGAGAATACCTGGCAGGATAGAATTAAGTAAACTTCTGAGATAGTGTCGCTTTATGCTTGTTAGGGGTTCAGAGTAGCTTGGGCAGTGTTCCTTTATGTTCAGAGATTTGTTGTCTGGCTGCGTACCGGGCATTTTTGATATTGAACTATCACAAGACTAGCGTAGCCCCAATTTTAATATGAGCCAGCCTAATCTGAGGCGCGGGCTCTCATGTGAGATAATACGGTACTTAAACTAAACAAGACCCAACAAGGCACAGTAAGAAAAGCAACAAGCATCGCGAGACACCAGGGAAGAAGAGTAGTGAATCTAAAAATAAAGTCTCCTGAGGGCAGAGAGGCAAGGTAAGACTCCCAAGATGGGAGAAGGATGGGAAGTCATAGCCTGCTCCCTCCCTACAACGGGAAGAGTAATAATAGTAATACTTCATGTTGAGTTGTTCCTGATTAGGAACTATATCTTGAGCACTGTGGTCGTAACTGCGAGAGAGCATGATAGCTGAGAGCCCTATGATAGAGGTAAAATATATTTTACATTTATCACACAAGTTCTAGTACATTTGGAAAATAGATTATAGGCTCTAAAAATACTATCAGAAAACTAAGCTATATAGAACTTAATCTATAATACAGACCTCCAGAAATTTGAATATTAGGTCATATGAGCTTTGCCCCGATAACAGAAGGCATTACATTTTGAAACACCAGTATGATACTATACGTTTTACGTGGTTTGCATCATAGTAGACCTTCTCGGTCATTTGCACCACACAATGCCGGACCCAAGCCCACTCCTTCACTCGAAAGCGCAAAATGACAAGCCCCCTCTCATGCATTCAGCCAGTCCTCGAAATACACGCAATTACTCGCACTAACTGGGCCTCCCTCCTTGCACAAGGTAAAAACGGGGCACCTCCCGCACGGACTCTCGGTAAACCCATTGATGCTATCCGGTCTCCTGACAGCCCGATAGGCCATTCCTCCCACTACACGTTCAATTTTCCCATCGTACACTAGCACATCGAGCAGGCTTCTGATATCGGCCTCTGCGAGGTCAACTTCGGTCAAGTTACTACTCTTGACCCAGAGATAGACTTGGTTCAAGGTTGGATAACCAGTGTAACCAGGAGGGAATGAGCCGATGACACCCCGGGCAGGAAGCTTTGGGAAAGACTTTGACACCATAAACTTGGTGATGGCGGTTAGTAGCTCGTTTACGAATTCTTTGTCGAGCTCTGAGTCCGTAAACCAAGGGCCTCCTGTGACTTCTATTGATGGTGTGAGTTCGTAGAGCATGTAGATATTGCGCGCTGGGTGCTATACAGAATCATTAGCTCAAGCTCTTGCATTTCTCCCGCCGTTGAAGTGCCTGACCGTGGACCATTAGCAGGTAGACACCCAGGACATCACTGAATCCAAAACCCGTGGCGAGCCCAGAAAGCAACGTCCCAGTTTTCGTCAAGTAGCTACCCCCGTTGCCGAGCGCGGCGCCTCAAGCTAGTGGTCCACAGAGATGGTGCACTTCTACCTAGAAATCAGAGGAGTGACCTACATTAACACTCTTTATCGACTTGATAAACTTCTTCCTCTCCAACCCTTTCAACGCCTTATTAACTGCCGTAGAATGCATATTCGACTTTATTTTTAGTTGCTTTGTCCAAATCCCTTCCCTCGCCGACTCCTGAATATATCCGTATAACAATTCCTCGTCCGGGGTCATATTTTTGACCCTGAGGTACAGTCGCATTAGTCTCCCAAACAACCTGCTCGGCAGATGGGAGACTCACTTCTCTGCAAAATCCTTAGGAACAGAACGGAACACAGTCTGGGAGCCCCGGGTGAGGGCACTGAGCGAGCGAGTCCGTAATAATTCATTGAGGACTTTTTGTGTTAGCTCAAGGTTGTTTTTCCCAGGGACCAAGTCCTGAAGTTCTGAAACTGAGAAAAGGTAGTCGCTTGGAGCTTGTAGACATTGCTCGTAGACGGCTTTGGCCATTGCGTCGATGTTGGCTTGGGATGGTTGAGCAGCCATTGCGTGGCCGGAGTTGGGTTGAGCCGTGAACCAGGCGTGGTTGTGGTATGATATATAGGTGATGGGGGCAGCAATCCGGATTGAAGGAGAGAAGGTTGGGATGAAGGGCAGGGTAACGGGGACGGAGGGAGTCACCGGCACGGACTCACGAATATCGCGCCGCCCGAGTTGCTTCCGCGTCCATCTATTTTTCGGTTTTTTTTTTTTTTCGTTAGGAACTGTTAGGTAAGTATCTACCGCTATTATCCCAGTAAAAAAAGGATCGGATTTGATGAAAATCTCTCAAATACAAAGGAAAACAGGGGGGGTACCTATAATACCATCCTTGGCAAAAACATACCATCGCAAGGTTTCACATTACCATGAATAACAAAATATTCACCCTAGCCTTAGTCCCCTCACTCCTTTTACCCTTCTAACCATCCAAAAATATTGTGAAAAATCTCATAAATATTTTTCAGTTCTCTAGCAATTTTCTGGGGATTCTTGGCCCAAAAGACCACCAAGAACATACCATGTTGAAGCGAGGTCAGACCAATGTGATTCTGTGCGAAGGTTTCACTTTTTCCATGGCATATTTCTCGGTCAATGGTATCCGGAAGGTTTTTTCGCCAAGAGCATGGTATTGGAAAGGTTCAATGTCTTGCCGGCCCCGGAGATAGCTTGGTTACTCATACAGTACCGGTACTACCGGTACTCGTACATAAGTGCTCGTCGCGCAGAGAACCACTCACGTGCCAAGCCAAGACATGTCACGCGCAGACCAACTGGTTCCAGCTGCAAGTCCAAACCCTCCCCACCCACTTCACCTTTTTGGGCACCAATTGAGCCCGACCACGATCAGTACTTTTTACCCCCCCTCCCCCCCTGACGAAGAATGGAGCACCAGATTGCCGTTCTTAGGCGGCAGTATCTACAACTCCTGGAACCATCTTGTCTCTCCTTCCCCCCGTTACATCTCCTGCAACAGCCGGTTTTCCAAGCCGCGTTATGTACTGGTTTGTTCATCCCCGGGACTCGGGATGCAGCGCCTCCGCCGCCACCGGAGAGGTATACTGCACGGGTTCTCAAGAGGCTGACCTCTCTGCTGTCGGAGGGGGGGATTCAACAGCGCACTGTGGCCGACACTGTTGTCGCTGAAAACTCACTTCAAGAAGAGGAAGAAAATGTACGCTCTCAACCCCCTCACAAAAAGTCGAAGCCCGACCAACTCCCGGCCTCACCTAAGCGCCAGGAAATCGACGAACGCATACTATCCCTTTATACTCGCCTTCTGTCGAATACGCCCTCTTCCTCTATTACCCCCTTCCCACCGACCTCAAAGGAGAACGTGACATATACTCTTCCACCCTCACCCTTCTCTGGCCGCCCCATTGGCCCGCCCATCACATTATTAGAATCCCGCGCCGTGATATCCGGGAGTGGGACGACAGGTCTAAGGACCTGGGAGGCGGCGTTGGCACTAGCGGAGTATCTTATCGTGAGTCACTTGGAGAGGTTTTATAGGTTTCCAGGAGCCGTAGTGGCGGGGACGAGGCTGGTAGAGGAGGTGGGAAGTGTGCTGGAGTTGGGGGCAGGGACAGGTCTGGTGGGGATTGTGGCGGCTAGGCTGGGCGCAGGGAGGGTGGTTGTTACAGATGGTGATGAGGGGGTTTGTGATTCCTTGAAATCTGGGCTGGAGAGGAATGGTGTAGCGGATGTGGTGAGTGTTAAGAGGTTGATGTGGGGTGAGGGTGAGGGAAAGGAGAGTAATGAGGGTAATGAGGGAGAAAGGTTTGATCTGGTTGTCGGGGCTGATGTGGTGTGGTGATCCCTTGGACTTGATGCAGGGCATTGATAGGTACTAATGGTAGATAGATATACGATGGCTCTACCATCCCACCCTTCGTAGCCGAATTAGTACGGCTGTTTCGCAAAAACCCTTCCGCTAAGGTCGTCATATCCACTACAATACGCAACGAAGACACCTTTTCCCTCTTCCGAGATTCCTGCGGTCCGTTTCCTCATACACATTCGCATGCGTATCTGTACCGCAAACTAACAAAATTATTGTACTCAAATAGCGGAAAACAGCCTATTGCTCTCGGAGAACACCTGGACGCCGCCAACCCCTCCAATTTTTTACTATCCTACAGATACCCCGATTCGCATCTCACACGTAACAAGGGAATCCCCAGAGTAACAGACATGAAATAACAAACTCTTACTTGGTTTGAACCAGAGAAAACCCATGTAAATACCCAGCTTCCGCATTGGTTATGGACATAGACATAACTGTGCTTGTTGGTGGGAATTTATGTTTTGTTGAAGGGTTTTCCGAAAGTGTTCGGAGGCGATGAGATCGGAAACCACAGGCCTTGACCTGCCTATAATTCGTGAAATCAAGGGAAGGAATTTCCAGAACAAATCATCCCCCCCCCAAGCGCTTTGTTGTTAGATATCAGTTCCAATTTATTTCGTTCCTTGAGCGCCGGCCGGAGCATCGGTACGTCGTCGCTGTATAACCCTGCCGACGGCATCTCTAACCTCTGGCGCACTCCTAATCGCCGATTCAATCATCCATTCTTCCAACTTCTTTTTAAGCATTTTCTGCATCACAGGGTTCGCGTCGAACGGGAGCAATTCTTGGGTAAGTATTGTGGAAGTCTCAGTATCGGTCCTGTGGAGAAGCGCTGCCATGCGATCCAGCTGTGGATCTAGCGCTTCCGCAGTTAGAGGGCCGGCGATGGCACGATCTTGCTGGAAAAGGGGCGCGAGTTGGGAGATTGCGATGAAGCTTGTAAAGAGGATTTTACGGGCGAGTGCGAGTTGTTCGAAGGGGAGCAGTGTATTCAAGATTGGGATTTGTGTGAAGTGGTGGAACGGGCGAGTAACGACAAAGGCTTCGAGGACCATCATGCAAAAGAATGCGTAGAAGCGCCACTATATATCAAAATGCCGTATCAGCGAGGGCTTCAACCTCAAAACGGGTTAGGGAAGCTCACGTATCTCCCAAATTCCATCTTCCCCAGAACATTCAGAATAACCAAAACAAGCACACTTCCCAAATAATACGGCCCCATCATCGTAACCCCACGAATCAAGTAATCATAAGCGCTCGAGCAATTCCTCCACTCCAGCATATCTGGTCCAAACCGGTCATACGCGCTCCTCTTAACAGGATCGATAAGAGTATCGTAGGCGGCTTTCAACATGACGAAGTAAGCCTCTCCCTGCGTGCCGACCTTGTCAGGATGGTACATCACTGTGAGCCGCCGGAATTTCCCCTTTAGCTCCCGATCGCTTGCACGCATTCCCGCACTCAGAAGCTTGTAGAAGTTTGGCTCAAGAAGTATGGCGTTGTAGGATTCGTAGATTGTGTATAAGAGGTAAAAGGCTATTACGAGGAAGTTGACGAGCTTGTAGGATTTTACGTAGGTCGGCGTGCCCGGTTGAGGGCGGGGATCGCCTGCCCGAGTTATTAGGCGATACCAGAAGGATAGGAAGGAGGAGGTTGCTAGCTGTGAGGATATTTGTTAGCTAGTTTAGAGAAGGGAGCGTGGAGCGAAAGGAGGGGGGGCCTACTGAAGGGAGAAAACTCCAGCCGATAAATGATAATAGGGCAGACATAATGAATGATTATGTTTGTGAAAGAGGGACGGTGGGAGGTGGGATGGACGAATGGATGGTAGGTACAAGTAGTTGAAGCAAGGGTCTTGGGTGTTTGCGACTGTATTCAAGTTGGTGGGGTCTAAAGTTACCCGGCATTAATACAGATGTTTCCCTCAGGCCTACATCTTTCTCTCATCCCAATTTCTGCGATGGCCCAAGCATGCGACTCACACTGGCTTCGCCCAACTCAAACCAACGCAATCTAATTCTTGATCGGTCTGATTCGGAACCTCTACTACAATGCCAACCCCAACAGGGTACCGCGACCACAAACACAAGAAAAGGGACAAAAATCACAAGCGCAAACGCCTTGCTAACTCCCCCCCCGAGACCTCTAAAAAGGCCCGTACCACCACCACCTCTTCCCCCTCCCCAAAACACCATGGTAATGCCTCCTCCTCCGCCTCCGCGGCCCCCGACTCACCCGCGAACAAAACCCCTTACCACGCAATCAGGGCGAGCCTCTACCTAACACTCTCCCCTAAATACTCCTATAAAACCCCCCAATCACCACACACAACCCCACTCTCCGGCATTCAGAAGGACCACCTGGACCCACTGCTAATGTCCTACTTTGAGCCTGTTAACGGGGTCGTACTTGCCTACCGAAATATATCGTTCGAGAACGATTGCGCCAGAATCGTGGGCGAGTCGCCATTCGCACATGTTTGGGTTTTTGTCGAGTTTTTGGTTTGGCGGCCAGTGAGGGGGATGCTGCTCAAGGGGTGGGTCAATATGGCGGGGGCTAGTCATGTGGGACTGCTTGTTGAGAATACGTGGAATGTGGCCATCCCCAGGGAGAGGATCCCGGAGAGTTGGAGCTGGGTTGAGGAGGTAGGAATGGAGGTCAATGGAGAGGGGGCAGCTGTGGGAGAGGGTGCGGGGGTGAATGGAGGATATTGGGTGGATGGCGATGGCAAGAAAATAGAGGCCTTCAGAAAGTTTAAGATTGAAGCAGTGAAAGCAATGGGTCATATGGTTTCCATGGAGGGCAGTTTGTTAGGTGTCGAGAGACGAGAGAAGAAGCCTCGAAGGGAACGTGCCGGATAACAGCTAGGAAGATTCTGTATATCTACTAGTACGCTGTGGGATGTGAATAACATCGATAATCCCTCTTTTACTTTTATATATATCTTAGATCCTATAGATAATAAAATTCTGTGCTATTCTGATCATTCTTTCAAATTTAAAGTCCTGATATCTACCGTGTTATACCATAATAACCAACTCCAAGCGTTTTCCTACAGCAACAAAAAAAAAAAGGGAGGGGGACGGCCACGTTGGGGAGTCTATGTATGATATCTCAATATGGATCTTTACCAGTAATAATTCAGTAAATTGGTTGAAAGACTTATGATAACAAACTTGAATCACACTATCATACCCTGAGTACAAAAAAGGGACCCCCGCAAATCGATGGAAAAGCAACAAGCAGAAATAGACCAATTCCTCACACTCCCTAAAAGCGACAAAGAACCAGCTCCTATACCCTACCCACCCCCTGAAACCCCGTCCCACCAAACACTGCACCCACCCGCCAAATCACGTACCATCACTCGGCTCTACCTCCAACCCCTCACCCCTCTCGTATGCCAGGTCGGCGGTATGATACCAGTATTTGATTGAATCTCCTGGCGCAATCCACCCACCGCTTGTCATCCCCAAATGTAGTAAACAAACCCCGGGGCATAATCTAGACTATTCATAACGACACATACAACCCGTACAATGGCCGACTGCCTCTATCGAGTCTCGAAGTCCCATCGGAAAAAAGAAAAAGGGAGGTTTGAAAAAAAAGAAAAGAAAGACAATCAAAAAAAGGGGGGGAGAAAAGCTTACCTGTCATTTGGTACCACGCACTGGAATGAGAGTTTTAAGCAGGAGATGCATGCGTGCATGCATGGGTGAAGGGGGATACCGGTATGTTCTCGAGTATGGTATTTGCTTTTGGAATTGCCCGGGTGGGTAAGAGAAGAATGGATGTGTTATTGTATTTGCCGTGAATTGTGTTCGAGTAGGGTGGAGTGCTGTTGTCGGATTTTATTTTCTTGTGGTGGTGGGGTCAAGGAGGGAGGAAGGGGGAACGGGGGGCTAGAACGGTCCGTATCTTGTCAAGGGAGGAATTACCGTATCATAGGTTGGATGGCTGGTCGTTCCTCGCCACTCATTAGTGAGCTAGGGGATGGGATGGGAAATGAAGCTGTTGGGGTATGTATGGAAGGGGTATTGTGGCGGAGGTGCGAAGGAGGGGAGGGCCTGCGACAGAGCATCACTTGACATCACTCATGGTAAGATGGGATACGTTCAATGCGTTGCTGCTTTCTGCTGTCACAAATCACAAAGTTTGAACGGAGGTTGCGGCGGCCTTGCAGGGTATTTAAAAACATCTGACAGAAGCAAATCGAGCAATATCCCTTTTCTACACTCATTGCCTCTAACATGCGTTTTATATAGTCAAGAGCTGTAGATATCCGGTTCCCTTTGCTATGTTGGTCATCAGGGCATCTGATAACTATCACGATCGTAACGCCTCCTCGGGCTCCGGCTTCGTTGCCTTCTCCAGGAATCTCTTCCCTGATCACGGCGGCCATGGCTACTGGGACTTCGCTCTCGCCTAGATCTTCCGCCATCTCTTTCACTCCCACGTTCCCTGCCTCTGTCTCTTTCCCTACGCCTTTCCCTATTCCCATCTCTGTGTCTGATACCTTTGGGGCCTCGATCATCTCTCTCTGATCTCCATGTTTCGGCGCGTCTCCGAACGTCGACCTCATCAAACACATATCCCATGTTACTACTACTACCGTGGCTCTTGTGGTTACCTTCCCTGTATTGGCGTCTCTTCTCTAATTGGTTAGATCCACCAAAACCACGTGCATTGACCGCATTTTGACGTTTTGCATTGGTGGCCGATCGCCATGTGTCGGATAATTTAGACACCTGTTGCGGCACGTCGTCTTAGCACACTGAGTAAGGGAAAATGAGAGGAAAGTGGGGCAATCCTACACTCTGCGAAAAGTCGACGTGAATTCTATGGTCATCTATCAATACTCCTTGCATTTTAAAGTAGGCCTGCTCGCAAGCCTTTTGGTCCTCAAACTCAATAAAAGCATACTGGAGGCTATCGTCGGTTCTCTTGTCTCTAATCACTTCGCACGACAGGATGGTCCCAAAACGACTGAAAATCAAATGAAGATCCTCGTCTATAGCAAGTTAGTATTTTGAATTTAGCAGGTGGATTACAGGACGTACCTTGAGTAACGGGATTCAATTTGCAAACGAAGAGAATGTTTTCTGGTGGCTTGACATCCGCAAAGGGAAGATCGCCAACCATCTCCAATGTCAACGCTTGTGCCCTTGCTTCTCGTTCTCGCCTTGATTTCTCGACTGCTTCGGGATCATCATCCTCCTTGATTTCTTCATCCTCCCCAATTCTCACGGTCGCTAATTGAGCATTTGACGGGACAGGGCTCTGGGATGGCTCTCTAAAACCATCAGGGTCATCAAATGGATCTTCTAAAATAATCGTGTGATGTATTCGGATATCCTTTAGTGGCCTTCCTTTGCCATCACAGAAGGCATTGTTGATCTTTTCTAGAGTATCAAAGCCTTCAACAACTTTACCAAATATCGCAGCCTTTCCATCCAGGTAATCCAACTCGTCACCTGTAGTGATGATAAACTGACTTCCACCCACGCGCTCATCTGGATTTCTACCAGGGGCGGTAGCCATGCTCACAGTACCACGTTCCGTGTGCTTCAGTTTTGGATGAAACTCCGCGGGAAATAGGCGCTTGGAAGGACCCTCCAGAAGGCCCCAGATCGATGAACCCCCACTTGACTCAGGAGAGTCAGGCCCAATGGGGTCACCGGTTTGAAAAGAGAAATCCTTCTGAACACTATAAACGGGGGAAAAATTATAATATTTTATTTTGCATCTGGAGATAGCCGCCGGTGACAATTTCAGCATTAGTCGGTTCGTATTTTTGATTGCAGGTTCCCGTGGCGGGAATACCCGCTTCAGAAGAAATGTGGGGAGAGGTGTGTGGGGGGGGGGTTAGTGAGAGCTCGGAGAGGTACATACAGCTTGAGGAAGTTCTCGCACGCTTTGGGGGCAAGGTCGACAAGGAGATCAATGACAATGTCACCTGTCTCCCCGAGCTCTAGTAGCACAGACATAGTAGCGGAAGCTCAGTGGCCATAGAAAAGAGAGGAAGAGGATGAATGAGGTAGGCGATTATATCAGAGTATGTCGCAACTGCTTGGTTGTCGAATATGAAGTGGGAGGATGGTAGGGGGTGTGCAGCTAGAGAAAGATGATTAGGCGAGGACGCGATGCATAATTGAATGGCTTAACAGGGAGCGGAGGGCACAAGTATGTAGGCTAATGTTGGTATACTGTGATCAAGGGTTGCCAGCCCAGGTGAGAGGGTCTGAAGAGTGAATGGAGGTTGACGAGGTCGAATGTTGTGAACCGGGAACATTGATCCTGTCAGGGGTAAAGAGCGTCGGGTTTGGGGATTCCGGTAGCTTTATGATAGTAACCTACGCCGCAGTTGCTCTTAACTTATCCTGCGCACGTGACCGCAGACGTCCCATCTTCATGAGAGCTTGAAGATGGACTGGCCCACTTGCGCGTTGCAAAAGTTTTGGCGCTAATTTCGCTGGGACCTCCTGCTAAAAAGCACTAAGCCTGATCACCGCATTTCCCGAAACTGTTGCAACGAGCAAACATAAATTTACTGGTATTGCGGTGCAGCCATTTTCATTCACTTTCTATTCCTTTACCATAGGCTAGGTCACCATCTGCGATATTTTCCACTCACCCCACTCCCCATTCTCAGATATTCTTACAATTCTCACGGAACAGGTCACTAACAACCGTCTCTGAAAGCACTACATTGTACTCGAGTACCCCTTGCGAACTGTACTTTGTACCTACAAACACACCTACATACATACGGTAGAATTGCGAAAGGGATCTTTACTGAGCTGTCACTTCGACTTTGCGGTTGTATTTCATCGGGGTTATCTACATCATGGGTTTGGCGAGCCTCTCATGTTGTATTGGTTCATTCTCCGCCTTACGGCTAGAATCCTGGAGGATAATAGTTGCTCTCCCGCTCCAACGATCTTGTCGCTCAACCAACTTTTCCCTCATGCCACGGGTACCTCCATAGACGGCATAATCGTCCCCACATGGAGAATCACTTACCAACCCCCCCCCTAAATGCTTTCCCCACTAGTGCTCAAGCAACATGGCAACGCCCCTTAAAATCGCGGAGCACGCAACTTCACAATTCTCCCAAGTGAACAATCTGCTGGTTGGTCGAGTCCTGGTGATATTGGCCCAGGAGCCAATCAATGGCGACGGTGACCGTATTTGGGTATCGCTCGATTGTATCTTCCGCCAAATTTGGGATTTGCGGCCAAGGGACAGGTCGGGGGAAAAAAAATACCTCTCGGATTTCGATGCTATCTGCTCCTGCATCTGATCCCCACGCCTTACCAATAATAACGGGCTTACCTAGATTGACTTATGTCGATCTCCGAAAAGTGTTATTCTCACCCCGGAGAAGTACAGGAAGCTACCTTCACAGTGTACTGATCATTCCTACTAAGGTTTTTAAGTTGGTGCAAAGGATATGTACTCGGGGTGTGTCAGTAAAAATCGGAAAAGTATTTCTGCTGATTTCGTACAATTCTCTATAGAGACAAGTGTTATGTTTTCCGATTCTTATGGGCACAAGCAGACGTGGCCTGCTAGATCATACATGCCTGAAAAGGCTGGCGATAATTCTGGGAAGCCTACGAAAGGCTTTTGCATGGTTTTATTCCTGGTCACGATAACGAGAATGCGTCTCCTTAGTCACCACTTGCAGACATCTTTGAAATTGCACTATCGCTTTATGTTGTTATAGCTCAATTTAGTGATACTTTGTGATGTGGCAATGATGGATGGGTTACAGGAGATGGTCAGTGTTCAGAACGACAAGGTAGGAACAAAAAAAGAACCCCACCTCCCCGTCAACCGGCGACGGAAAGATCGTGAGCGTTGGGGGGGGGGCAAGCAGATAGGTTCCTTGCATCTCCAGTTCTTTTATTGTTTTTTTCATTTCGATTCCTGTCCGAAGATCGCCATTTATCTGCGAACAGAGGAGATCCTATCGTTAGCACGCGGTACTGTAATCAACCCTTTTAATGTTGATGGCACCAAATTGGTCGTTTTTGATCCTTTCCCCTTGATCCGGGCCATCTTGTAGTCGGGCGAAGAATGAAAAGCACATTGAGCTCGCACGATAATGTGCCATTATCGTGCTGATGGGTTGACTGAAGATCATGTCACAGTTGTTGGTTGGACAGAAGGTATTATGCCTAGTTTACAGCGGTGATGGGGTGAGGTTTTTTATTTTACTTCAATTTTATTTTATTAACAAGGCGAGAACATCTGGGGGCCGACCTTATATCTAGGGAGACGTCATGCAGCCAAGAAAATAAGCCAATTTTATTCAGCCCGAGATTCTTGGTTATTTTCATTAGGGCTTCGTATCAGGACTCCGAGCTCAAGTGTGTGTGGCAAAAGAGTATGGATCAAAATGGCTAGGTGATCTTGGAGTGATCCGCCCTTTTTCATCCGGTGACTTTTCTATCTGAAAGCAGAAGAAACTAATTGTCAAGTTGGCGAGGGTCTGAATCTATTTCAGAAATCACTTTACAGTTGGCCGTTACACAACTTGTTCCTTATGCGATTGCTGGAAACACTTTGAGCGGAAATACAAGCCTGAAAAGCTCGTTAAAAATTGTTTCGTCACCTCCCATCACTCACCATTTTGGCATCACCATAACCGCCTCCTGTGCTGTATCAACTACCATTCTGGAAGGGTGATTACCGTCCTTTGAAGAGAAGAATCGAAATAAAAGCGAGTTCGTGGCTCTTGTTCGAGAAGATGCAGATATGCATGAATCCGCCCATCTCAACCACCCTGCTCTCCTTTGTCCTATGTTCGAATAGGGCAAATGAGCAGTGGCGGGCCTTTTTGCGCCCAATCAATTGGTCACACCGCTGGACTGAATTTTATGCTTCCCTGACCAGACTTCACACTTTAGGGCTGTCTTTCACGGTGTGTTACGCATCGTGTAATTATCTCCGCAGACATGCAACTACCCGGTGTGAAATCCTTTGACGGAAGGTTTGCTTTTTTTCTTGTGTCTTTAGTGAATAAGTTGGGCGGCCGTCTGAGGGACAATACATCTCGTTTGTCATACAGCCAGTCCTGGTGTCCTTTTGTGTGGCAATCGTATCGCCTGACTTTATTTGTGCAAACGCAGTGCTCGGACTCTTGCGCAACTGGTTCAATCCGACTAGCTCAGTTCCCGGCCCAAAGCTGCGACTGAACCTTCTAATCTGACGGAAAGAGAGAAATCTTCAGGTTCCTCATTTTCTATTGTTAGAATGAGGGGAGGGGTCTTGCTTTCTGAGAATTGTGGAGAAGGCGCTGAGGCCTCCATACGACGGGCCTTAGGAATATCTGGCCGGCGAAGTAGAGAAGGTGAGGCTGGTGTGGGTGTCTGGATGCACAGCACGCATCTGGCGTTCGAAACCTTCCTCTAATGAATTTCTTAAGGAAAATGGGGCGGATTATAATTGCAACAGAGACAGAAATTCCCCGAAGGCAATCAATATAATGGGAATTATGTGGGGGCTCACTTGGGGGAAGAAATATCAGAAAGTCTATTTATTCGCAGCCGACGTTTGTAGTGAATCATGAACTTTGATTCCCTGTTGACCAAGTTCTGCTGGCGGATGACATGGTTTTTTTTTAATTTTCACTCTTCTGTCAGCGATAGAGTGCCGCCATAACACTTAGGCTACCTTGTGCAATTGATTCCAGAGGGCAACCGATAGTTCCTTTCCCCTAGTCTACTGCCCTGACCCAATATATACAACTTGTTCTTGTTTCCCCCTATCCGTCCCGACTAGATTCCACTTACCCCTCCAATACCTTCTAATTGTAGTTAAATCATTAACGACTAGATAACTTATCATAGATATTTTCCCAGCATACTGGACCCAGCACCACACCGACCCTAGCCGTATGGCACTCGCTTCGTTCTGAAGGTGTTTCGGTTGCCAGTGGTAAAGTGATGGGCGGCCGCATTTTCTGAGGAAGACAGCAGATGCAGATAAAGGGGATTCATTTATGTATGCATATTGTGTATATTTTTCGTTTTTCCATACACTGGAGCTAGACTCTGGCGACTTAAGGCAGCTGCACAAACTTCCCTACGGTATTTATTTTTTCAAGGAGAAAGGAGGGCAGGCGAAAACAAACAAGCACGGGACCTGTCAGGCGCCCAGGGCACTAGGGGACCTTTTCCCTGGCTCGAATATGCCAATGATCAAACTCTATGATACTATCGTGTAAGTGGGTAAGCCAAGCTGGTGTCTGGAAATTACATTGATAGTACGTATCTTGGAAGGCTCTCATAATTCAACCATGCTTCAGCTATGTCTAAATTGCTGTGAGATTCCTACATTAAGTCCCCCCCTCCGTTTCTCGCTCCTCCACCCCCCCCCCACACCTTTCTGCCTCGTTTTCTTCCCCAGAATTACTCTGTGGGTGTTTATGTTATAACTGCAACCCCATCCCGTACTTCATTCCGGCTCTCGTGCGTTTTCCTCTCCCATCTCTTTCTTCTCCCTTTCCCTTCACACCCCCCCTCCTACCTCAGATCTCAAAGTACTATCCCAATATTTCTTACCATCCACTCTGCCGGACGGAGACAGTGCGCCGTGTACCCCTTCGAGTGTCCGGCACCCGTCAGATCCTGATATTCCCGTTTTCCCTTTCAATATCTCCTCTCATATTCCTACACTCAAACTCACTTTGAATTCTGATAGCCTCTATCCAAGTCTGCAATTGGACCATTTTATATTGCGTTAGAAGGTTTGGGCCAGACACGTTCGTTTTACCATCCTCACTCGAATCTACGAGAGCGCCACTACTATTTTCGATCTTGCTATCGGAGCTGAGTTCTCTGGAAATACCTTCTTCAATATTACTCCAAGCCCTTGCTCCGACGGCGATACTGGGGATTTTCGGGTTTGCATATTGGCAAACACCATTAGGAGCCAATCATGACTCGCCATCCGCTGAATCAATTGACCTATGCAAACGATCCTCCATTGGAATACCGCTCGCCTAGGGCTATTCCTCCCATACCCCACGACAGGTCAATGGCATTGTCTCTCTGCAGACAGAACCCCCGAACAGACCCAATGACTAGGCAGGCTTCGCGGTCTGGGTCTGCCTCCCACGCGCCTAGCACGAACGCTAATAGCAGTGGAACACCTAGGCGTCGGATCCAAGTAGCTGTGGGTTCAATCTCTTTCCTTCTCTTCATTTATCTGAGTTATATCTTCCAGTCCCAGAGAACAGGAAGATGGAGAATTGTTGCCTCAGCACGGCTTTGCTTGAAAAGATCTGGTGTTTTACACATAACCTCGTTGGTTTTCCTCTAATATGGGGGGGGGTTTCTAAGTCAATTTTATATAACTCTCCTACTACACACCCTTCTTTCTCCATAGGGAAACATCTGGCTAATAAATACTGTGACAATTCAGTGTGGGCGATGCCGCAAGCGCAAGATCAGATGCAGTGGGGACCCTGGGGATAATACGGGCTGTAGCAATTGCAAGGCAGCAAGTGTAACACAAGGAAGCTGTGTCTTCTTGAGGGTGCAGTGCGAGATGGCGGAGCTCGTACCAGACCATATGCTCATGGTGAGCGGCTATGAACAGATCTCTTCAACAACAATCGACCTTCCCCCTCACCCATACTCAACCTCCTCTTCGGCGTCTTCGTCATCCTCGTCACTTGCTCTGGGACACCCACACCCCAGTATAACATCGTCGACATTGCATCATCACGGCCTCAACTCTCAGCATTTGATGGGTCAGCTCCCCATGAGGCATCACACACTGAATTCGACCGGAATGTCTAATGATATCATATCATTAAAATCAGTACATCATCAAGATACAATAGGCGGCGCTGGTGGGGTAGATGGAAGTGGTCTGATTCTGGGTAGCGGTATGGGTCTTTCCTCCCATAGGGGTTCATACGATGGGGAAATGTCTAACGGGGCGCACGGCGGGAGCGGGATATCAGGTGGGGATCTGTATAGTGGGAATTACCCTCAGTTCCTCCAGCCTGAGATAGCCACTGCTAGCTCGCTCATGAGCGGGCAGCAGGGGCAATGGTCGCCATTGGCCTCTAGTGGTAGACAAACAAACTCGGGGCTGTACCTCGACCAGGACCAGGCACCAAGTTTGCAGAGCTACATGCCTGCTCCGAGCACCCGCATGCCGTTGCACACTGCACTTGACGGGTATAACACGATTTTCCCCGCTTTAAGCTCTCTATCATCCTCGCTGCCAGAAGGCGTTTCCCCAAGAACCACTCTAGCAGATCGAGTCACGCTCCCATCGCCTTTCAGAACGCAGGCCTCGGAAAACATCAGTCTAAGAAGCAACAGTGCGAGCGACCTCACGTCGGGCAGCTACGTAGCTCAGAGCATTCAACCGCCAACTGTGGGACGAGGATATTCCCCGTGGGCTGGAGAGCCAGGATTCACCACGACTTCTGGGTCCAGCAATAGCCTCACTATCCCAACTACTAAGGCTTCTGCCGTGAGTGTTTCTCCGCCGCTCTCCTACTTGAGCCCTACGGTCTCACAGCCGACGCAATCTATCATCCCCCCAGCCCTTCCGCTTCCCCCAGCCCTCACCTCCTACAGCACAAGCTCCAGTCCCATCTTTCCCCTCTCATCATCAAACACTTCACTCCTCCCATCAGGACCACACAGTGGCAGCATCCTAAACTCGAGCTTTGATTCCTTCGCGTCACAGCCACTACAATCACTCTCTCAACAACCAAAGTCTATACGTAGTGACTCAGAGTCCAGCGGCGGTGGAGCAAACACCAGTGGGACAAGCGGAAGCAGCGGAACGAGCACTAGCGCCGGCGGTAGCGGTAGCGGAAGTGCATGTACTGCAGGAGGCCCCGGTGGTGGCCCAAGTGGTTCGAAGATGAGCACACCTGCACCGACTATGCGCACAAGCTCAGCTTCTAGCTCTGCGTACTCCCCGACATACTCAAGGTCGAGTGTTGGGGGACATGATTTTGTGACAAAATTGTTTGCGGCTCACATGGGGGACTAGAGGGTGGTTTGATATAGGCATTGTGGACATAACACCGGGGTCTCAGGAGGTTTCCTGGAACGTCTCATGGCTCTCATGTCTCGATTCCCTTTGATACCTTTCTTTCTTTTGGACTTGTCTTGGTCCTCACTCTTCTTCTGGTCCATAAGTTTTGCCTCTTTCCTCTGCCCCCGCACAGCACAGTCTTGTACTAAGGTGCGTTTTTGTGTCTATCAATTCTATTTACTTAAGTTAGCTGTTTAGTTAGTCAAATTGGTTTCGTGATTTTATCTATTTTGTTTCTTCGTGGGTGCCGTTTTCGCTTCTCATATGAAGTAACCCACTATCATTTCATCCGTGTTGTGCTTTGCTGATCGATCACTCTGTGCTTGGGAAGCAGTGAGACACCGCGGCTTCTGTCTGTCTTTTGTTACCCACATCTCAACAAACGATCACCAACTTCTTGAGTTTTGATTTTATCGCTGAGTTCTGTCGGTCTGAGCATTGACTACTTGCGCCCTATTGTTTTCTTCCCTAGCCTTCGATGTTTGCCTGACATTTCCAGTCGCGTTTTTCTCTCGTTCCCTCCTTCCCCTCACTCTTACATTCGTTTCGTGGGGAGGCGAAGGGCGTGTTTTATTGCAGTTTTTTTTTGCGCAAGATAGGGTTTCCTTGATAGTGAGTTATTGGTACACTAGCTACCTTCCCCCAAGGAAGGGAGAAACCCCGGGGACCTTTTAAAATGGGGTGAGAAGAAACCAAAAGTAGGTTGAACGAATTTGGCTTGATCGTACAGCTTTCCTCCCTTGTTTTCTGATTTTCTACTTTTACTTTTGGCCGTGGGTTAGTTAGATTGGGTGCTACTATTTCTATTTTGGGCCTTTCTATTCTTTTAGGTCTACTATCATATGTTACGGTCGGTTCGATTGTTTCTTTAATACACTATTTATTTATTTTTCCTTTTTTCCCTTCTCCCCTGTTTTTTAATTTTGGTTTTCGCACACTAGCATGGAAAAGTGTACTGTGAGTGGGTGCTGAAGGTCAAGAAATGGATTATGTACGGGTGGTGGTGGTGATTACAATGGCTGTTCGGTGTTGTGCGCGCAAAGGGTTGAAGCTACGGTGGATGAGACAGCAGCCTAGAATATTATTGGACAAACATTGTAGTCTTAAGGCAAGCAAGCAAGAGGTTGAACCTCTAGGACGGTTATAGGGTTGGATTGATTCAATTTTGGGATGTAACCGGATGATATGATACATCAAATGGAGGGTTTGTGTTTGCTTGATTTTTTTTTTCTTTTTCCTCACTCCCACACCGGGTTGGGCAAACATCTCACCCCAGGAGTGCAAGAAAGGAGGGGGATTCAAAATCAAAGCTTCGTGGCGTTGGGCCCGGGGATTGTTTGCCATTCGCGTATGACATGTGGGCGGGTATCGGATGTTGTTGCTTGCTCCGACTGCCGCTAGCACCGCCCGAGTGATACCCTATGCTGCGGAGCACACTAGCCACTGAATAGGGTTAGGGTTTCCACAAGAGCAAAAATAGTATTATATGGGAATGTCACGAGCATTGCCAGTATGCCAGAGCTTTACCCAACCTATAGTGTCGTCTGGCCTTCGCTGAAAAAAAAAAAAAGCGAAAACAACCGAACTGGAAATGGGTACTAAAAAAACAATTAAAATCAAAACAAAATAAAATACGCCGAATACCGCTCAGTATGTATCGAATCGTTATCGCGGCTTTTAGCGCCCGATAGCCAGACAAGATAAAATTCCCGGTCATGTAGAGCGCATACGTCCCAGTCCATATTTGATCATGTACTGGCCAAACCCAAATGGGTGGTAACAAGGTAGGATCTGCCGATCATTACCTAATTAGATCTCAAGAAGACGGCGAGTGACCGGGAAGGGGGGGCGTCATGCAGGGATGGAGAGCGTGCAACGAGTGAGAGGCTGTGATGGCACGTGAGAGATGTAGGGTGGTGAGTGAGTGAGTGGGTGACGTTGCTGGACAGATCTTGCGAGCTCAAATCGTGCGGCGCGATGGCAAGGAGACGAACGGCATAATGCAGATTGGAGGAATAGGGGACTTTGCAGAGGGAATTTTGAGCAATCTAGGCCGCTGTGTTGTGTGAGAGGGAAGTTGGGGAGCGGTGGGGCCGAGTGATAGGATGGGTAGGGGGAGTTCGATATGAGTTGGAGCTGGACGGGGAAAAGCTGATTTTTCTTTCTGGCTTTCTTTTTTCTGAGGGGTAGGAAGTGCTTTGGTGGGTGACTTTGTGATGGTGAGGAGGGGTTTAGATCATTTATTCTACAACCGCCAAATTGGCATATGTACCCTACGGCATTATGTCCCAGTGATAAGCCAACACCGCCTGCCTTTACCAAAACCAAAAACCAAAACCAAAACAAAACAAAGCAAAACAAAGCAAAAATAACAAAATAAAAAATAAAACAACATTAACAATTTCACCCCCGAACATCAATTCCGGCCACAACTCGCAAACAATTTATCCAGCTTTATTCCTAATCCGACCAAGGAAATCCACCATCAATCTGTCCCAGCACCGGCCCGAAGCCCTCAAGTGCAGGCCCGCATTCTTGAGGGGAAGCGACGCGAGCGGACCAGTTGTAAATTGCACCCCGAGTCAATGCATTTTGCTTTTTTGGTCTACTCTTGCTTGAGAGGATAAGGCTTTGAGGAAGAGGCAGGTGGAGAGGACCGAGGAGGGTAATGGCAGTAATTTATGATATTTCAGTTCTATTTGGGGTGGACTGGTCGAAGAAGAGTGGCCTAAGGTTGCGATTGGTTGCCACACGCCTTGAACGAACCGGGATGATGGCGATATCGATGACAGGATAGATGGGGTCTCGAGAAGATACTGACCTGCGGGTGCTGGCCGAGACCACACGGCCTCGGGTATTGCCGGACATTGTACGCCGTAGGATCTGAGATTTGTATGGAATTTACGTATCTGAGGGCACTGGTAACGGCGACTTCAATTGCGTCAGTAGACTACCTATCTGGATTTCTATAATTCACGAAATACGATATCTGGTACCCAAGGTGCCCGAGAAGCACCGCGAACCTGAGTGGGGTGGACATATTTGTTGTCAGAACCCACCCATGAGATGTCCCGTGCTAGGTGTGTCACCGAGAGGACTCTAAGAACCCGCAAAGTAATATCCACGAGACGAGTATGGTATTTAGGGGACTTGGGAATTGGGTTTACAGAGGCAACGCGAAGGATACAGTAAAGAGGGAATTCCTGACATGTGGAGAGTAATCGCGAGGAGAGGTAGACAATGACTCTGACCTAGCGTTTGGCGGAAGGCAAGGGCAATCGAGGGCAAAAAGGGGAGATATTTATATCATATCAGGTGAGAGCCCTTGAAGTTTCTAGGGGGAATTATAGTGAGTGGGTATAAGGGGAGTAAGGGCATAATCTGGTGGCCCTCTGCTGGTGAATTGTCGTGACACGGAGTGCGACTTTGGAGGTCTGCGGTTCAATAAATATTTGAATATTTTCAGTGCTTTTAAATTAAAACTAGCTGTAATATGTGCATTTGGAGAGGTTCTCAGATTAGAGATATGTGGTCTAGTAGTAGTATTATATTATTGAAGTCTAGAGATAATGTACTACCTATTAAGTTATAAACTAATATTGAAGAACAAGAAATATCAATACGGTTACTATGACAATAATTCAATTATTAAAATGCTGTTTAATACTGACATGGCTCTGTTGTAAAGAGCTTTTTGCCACATAAGCAAAGTGGAGATGTAGTGGTAAAAGCACTTCAGCCTTATAGAAGTAAGAGGACTACAGAGTAGTCTGGTCTACTATGAAGGATATTTAGACTAGGGCTAGAAGAAGATCTAACATAGTTCAAGGAGTTTGGTACAGTCGTGTCCGTAAAGTCTTCATACCCCGGTGGCGCAACCACACAACCACAACACCTCTCCATGGAAAATTGAAAAAAATTCAAACAACTCAATTAAGAAAGGTATATGAATAGAACTAATAGGCCTTAAGAAAATATTATTACCACTTTGTATGACCACCATCTGCATCTAGTACAGCCTGTATTCTCTCAGGCATTCTATCTATCCACCCATCTAACTTCACTTGGGAAATTAAATCCCATTCCTCCTTTGCTGCCTGAAATAATCCAGCAGCACTGTGAGGCCTCCTATCCAACCTGGAGAATCGATTTCTGAGGGCTCTTTTGAGCAGAGCCCAAGTGTTCTCAATAGGATTAAGATCTGGTGAGTTGGGTGGCCAAGGCAATTTTTGATAACCACAGTCTGACTGCAATTTTCTGTTTTCCTCACCACCATGCCAGGAGGCATTGTCTGCTGCTAGGTAGATGTTGTCAGAAGGTCTATCTAGACCTTCTATAAAAGGGATGAGGTATGGCTGGTGGATTTCAGTTGCATATTGGTGGGAATTGAGGCCAAGTCTGTCTCTTTTGCTGGTCCTTTCTTCCTCCCCCCTCTTCCTCACAAGAATTAACTCAGTCCTGCCACCCTTCATGATTGCAGCATAGACTCCAATACTAGTCCTCCCAGACTTAAAGCTAGGCTTCAAGTTTTTTTCTTCCAGCTCTTCATCAGGTCTAACTCTGACCTTCCTGCCTGTTGGATTTGGATCATAGATAATGGTGGCTTCATCCACAAAAACAACCCAATTCCATGCACCCCTCCAATTCCTCCTTCTCCTAGCAAACTCCTTTCTCTTCTCCTTCTGTTCTTTCCTCCAAAAAGGTTTTTTTCTAGGTATCAGAAGCTTAAAACCAGCTTCTGATATGATCTTATCTACAGATATCTTTCCTAGACCAATATTCGCTTTTTTGGTAATGTCGCGTAACGCTAAATGAGGCTCGGCATCGATAATGGACTCCACTATCTTTTTTTTTTGAGGGGTAATTGTTGTTGGTCTTCCAAATCTGGGGGCATCATGGGTATTTCCAACTCTTGATTCAGCTCTTTTGACTACTGATTGAACAGTTGCCTTAGAGATACCCATAACCTTAGAAATTTTATTATACCCCATATCAGTATGTTTATACAGGGCATAAATTTCCTTATTTTGATCTTCTCTAGCTCTTCGGGTATGTGGGGGGGTCATGGTAGAGGTGGTTGTTGTGGGGATGGAGGACAACACCGTTGCCGCGCTGGGGTATGAAGACTTTACGGACACGACTGTACTCATGAATATTAAAGTATGTTGGAAATCATGAATGCCACTTGACATGCTCAACGCTTTGTTTTCTTGTCTGCTGGAATATTCATCAGTGGGCATATCTGTCCATTGGTATATCTATCAGTCAGCATCACTACCTAGGAGTCTACCTACTATTGGTTCTTTTATTGCTATTCATTTACCCATTTGCATATTTGATCTGCATTCCTGGAGCCAGCCATTAGTTCATTCCCACCTGTTTGTGACCCTCCTGCTATTGGATTTGTTGTGGCAGAGGTCCTTGTTATGTGTTTTGTGAAAGGACTTCTGATAGAGAAGAATATGAAGGTGTTAGGAGTCTTGGTTCTTGTCTATCTTTTGTGAGTATAGGAGTGTGGAAGACGGGGGGAGTGGGGAAGGTAACTGGGAGTACAGAAGGCAAATTGGAGCATGTGAGGCAAATTGGAGAGTCCTTGAAGTAACTATTGTTTGTTCTCTTCTTTGTTATCATGAGGAGCATAATGAGGAGTATAATGTGGGCTTCCTATGGGAAGATAGATTTCAAGGTTATGATCACAGCAAAGTGGTCTTTCCTAAAATAAAGATAAAGAAGAATCAACAGCAGAGTTGAAAAAACAAAGTGGTAAAACTTGATATTATTAAGCCACAGCTTTATTTATTTAAGTCCTGATCTCAAGAGGTAGTTGATTGCTAGAGTAGAGGAGAACTTGTATATACTTATGTAGATTTCATATACTGGTAGTTGCTCACTATTACTACTTCAAGTTCATATTTGTGAGTACCCAACTCCTAAGAACTGTTTAGCCAACCTCTATGAGTCAGAACAAAGATTCTCCAGAGTGAACTAGGCTAGTTTATGGTTTTCTAACATTTACATAATAGAAGTGTTTTAGCTGCTGCATTTCCTAGATAACTGTAGAAGTAAAAACTCTTCATATGTTAGACATGTCAGTAGTAAGCTGTTATGTCTAAGCAGAATCCTTACAAATTGATGGAACTCTCTATCCATGTACACTTAGTCTTCTACAAGCATTTGCAGCCCCTGAACATTAATCTGA